GGCCTGATTGCAGAGGGGCAGGGGAGCGTTACATCAGACGGGTCTGGGGTCAGGACCGGTTCCAACTAACAGGATTATTAAGACTGCAGCATACCTGTGGGCTAAAAATAGATTCACCACTGTTGTGCATTTCGTCCTTGGCAGACTTTGTTTCTTTCTTTTATCATAGATCTAAGCAGCTTGTTGTCAATGAGCTGTTTGTTTTTCAGACTTGTATTTCTGCTGATTTTATCTTATTATTGTTTGAACTGGACTAACCTCTATTTCACACCAACACGGCAACAATTAGATGCAAAAATGAAACAACAAAATCGTATAAGTCAAACGTCCCAATAATTTAACTGAAAATTTAGCTGGAATACCTGAACATATAGTTTTAAGTGTAGGATTCCATATCCTCACTGAGCATTTTGCATTAAAAGTCAAGTTTTGGTGTGAAAAGGTAGGAAGCCCCTAATGGTCTGCAGACTGTTACAAGGAAGAAGAGAAAAGATGATGTTTGAAGAGATGGAGTATGAAAATAGGTGATGTATTTCAGTATGACTGTGACTGACATCTGATATAAAGACTAACAAACTAAACATGTAACATGAAGCATGAGTGAACACATAAGCATTTGAATTCCACTCATAAAGAAAAACATTGTGCTCAGATTGAAAAACAAATGTAACTAAGTGTGCGTATAATGTGGTTGTTAATGTTTCCCTATTCAGATGAGTTTGTCCAAGAGTTGTTTGTCGACGTTTGTTTGGATTTCTCTATTGCCCAATACATGGAAGACTGTTCTCTTTTTAACATACAAAAAAGATTTTGCTCTTTCAGATAAAAAAAAAAAAAAATTCACAGACATACTAGAGTGTTCAATAAATAAAAAACTATTATAAAGACAATAGTAAAAAAGGCACACAAAAGTCCTTTGACAAATGGTACAGGAAAAAAGTAAACACTTTCTCTTGCTATACAAATGTGTCTCCATCAGTAGGTCTTACTCTATGCTACTTCTAGATCATATCATATCTGTAAAAAAGTCTTAAGGTACAAAACTTCTCTCAGTAGTGTCAATGTCCATTTAATGCCAGTCCAGAAAAGAAAAGTAACCATTTCCCAAACTGGCCAAAATCCTTCAATTTCCACCATCAGTTTCGCATGTCCATCAAGACTAAAATGTTCGCAGTAATTATTTCCTGAGAACTCTGAAGCCGCATCACTGAAACTGTCCGCCCCTGACTGGCTTCAAACACCCAAGTGCAAGACGCCCCTGTGCGGGACGAAACTAAGCCCTTGCTTCTGCAGGCTTACTAAAAAGCACAGCTGCAAGAGGATCGCCCCTCGTTTTCGAAAAACTTTCAAATCACCATGTGAGCCTGATGATGGAAGCCCTATGTGTCTGTGGGTGACGCCTCGTGTGTCACAATCTCTATTGCCGACGTGGGCTCCATCATGCTGCCCTCCTCGTGATCCTGACCGTCCGAATAGTCCAGGGGAGGAGAACGAGAATCTCCAAGGCTATCCTCCTCCTCTTCTAAGTCTTCCTCTTCTTCTTCCTCCTCATCCTCCTCCTCTTCGCCATCTTTCTCTATTCCATCCAAGTCCTCCTCCTCCAAGGTCAGCTCAAACTGAAATTTCTCCCCGCCTCCCTGTCCCCCAGTGCCTCCACTGTGTCCGTGCGTGCCCTGGTCGTAGAAGGGCGGGGAGGGACTCTGGGGGATCATGCTCTGGTACCAGTTCCTGTTGTCCTCCAGCGTGTCCAGAATATCCTGGGCGTCAGGGTGGACCAGATCGGCCCATGTCTCCCACAGAGGGTGCACGATATAGTCGATGAAACCCACCTAGAAATAAGTAAGGAGACACATTAGAATGGAATTGAGATTCTTTGAGCGCTTTGATGAACATTATGTGAATTTATACATCTATGTACATAATGGAGCTCCTGTGTGCTTGATTTCCTACCTGGCTCTTCTCCACTGAGGCTGTATGTTTGTCACACATGGGGCTGATCTCCATTCCTCTCTCCCTTTCTCTGTCTCCCTGGTGGAAGAACTCCTCCATTATCCGATCAGTCCACTGACGATACAGCTCCAGGGACTTGGTGGGATTACTTAGGTCAGCACAGTGCACCATGTTACGTAGCACCTAAATAATAGAGAATTACAATTTAGTAGATTCAAAATTGGATAACAAAGTACAAAACTTGTTTTGTTTTTTTTAAGTTATACTTAAAAAAATTATATTGTAAATATGCTTTAGTTTCATTCAGCAGAAAATGCACCACATTTTGGAAATATTTAGATATTCGGGTGAAAATCTGTTTAATCAGCTTCTTTAAAATTTAATTTGTAAACCTGAAAACAATGAGCCTCTCCAGTGTAAATTCCAATATCCATAAAACAATACAGCCAAGTGTGGTAGATTATTTTGAAAGATTACATTTAAGAGAAATCAAATTATTGTAGAACAGCCATTTAAGGCTAATTATATAATTTGCTTTATGAAAGGAGGTCAGTCCACACAATAGTCTAATAAAGAAGAAATCCTAGAAAGCCCATTAGAGGGAAAGTGTGGAGGGAACACTTAAAGGTAAAGAGAAGAGAAAAGAAAAGGAGTGACAGAGGTCAGCTGTGAAGGAGGAATGGTCATTGGCTAAGTAACCTCTGCCATCACTGGTTATTGATTAGAGCTATTAAAAGCATGTAAAACAGAGGGATGAGGGCTTAAAGTAGGTCACAAACTCACAGTCCATATAATGTAAGTGTTTTGTAAATATTACTTTTTTATTGAAGTTAAAAAATTGTTTTTGCAAAAAACAGAACCTACCTGTATTCTGTCGGTGTAATTGTCCAGCAGCAGCACTCCAGAGCTCGTCACCTTCTTAGTCTCCACCATAGTCTTCAGATCAGCCAGTAAACTCATGTGTTTGGACATGTCTGTGGCCAAAACCTGAATAAAAGAGAGAAGAAGAAAAGACATCAGGATTATATGGACAGGTTAAAAATGAACTGAGATGACAGCGAAAAAGAAAAGACTATGAATCAGCATATCTTACCATGTCGATGACCATCTTGCGCAGGGACTGTCGCTGCTTCTTAGTGAGGTTCTGAAAGATATCACAGTTGTCCTCCTGCAGTAGCTTGAATCCAACAGCCAAGTGATGGTTCTCCAGCACTGACTCATCGTTGTACATCAATGCCAGCTCAGAGTCTGGAAAGGCATTAAAAAGAGATTTTAATATTTTAGTCTTTGTTGTGACTACTTCTGTTTGTCTGTTGAAAGCACCAATGTATATATGTAGAAAATTAACTGTTCCATGTTGAATATATTTGGACTTACTGGTATTGATTAGGAATTGGTTTGATACTCCAGGATGGTCAACATCATGGATAGCTGCAGCAAAGATGGCTGCTAGGATCTCAAGATCTGTGAAGACCGCCTGTGAAAGAGAGAGGGAGGGAAAAAGAACATTAAACTATTTTTAGAATATAAAAATAACACACTAACTATTGATTCCCAGAAAATTGTGTGAGGGGCAGATAACAGAATGCAGGTGGCACCACTGTGAGAGAGTAAAAAAATATATCTGCTGGCTTTGACAGATGGAAGATAGAGAACCGAGAATAGTAAATCATGATCTAAAGACCGGGACGTTCTGACCTGACTGTATTGCAGCAGCTACCCCAATTTACGGAGAGCAGAGAGAAAATATATGCTGTAAAAAATCTAACAAAGAAGTTATGGAGGGACCAGTGTTGGGAGGAAAGAGAGGAAGAAAGAGGGGAAGTTCTCTGAGTAAACAGGTGCAAGCAGAGATGTTCGGGGAAAGCTGATTCAATGGAAGTATGTTGAGCTCTTCAAAGTCAGTGGGGAGATCCAGGAAAGTGGCAGTGATGTAAGAGCTCACTCCTCTAATTTAGTTTTCCCTCATTTCTGTCAGAGTAGGGAAATGTTTCAACCTCTAGAGTCGAAAGATGTACATCAATTACATAATGTAACAAGACCCTGATCTGAGGTACTAAAAACTGAGTACAGCTGAGACTACAATACTAACACGTCATATCATAACTTACATCCAGGGCTGGAGTGGAGAGGAGGATGTGGGTGGATTGGGCCACGTCAGCAGCATGCAGGCTGTTGTGATAGGCCACATCTGAATGGTAATGATCTTCCAATGTCATCATGTAGGCCACGAACGTATCCATGGGGATCTTAAACGTCTTCAACAGGTCTCGCTCCTAGAAATACATCATCATAATATATTTAGAATATTTAAGCGTAGATGATTTAAGTAGTAATCATACACAAAACGTAATGAAAGGCAGCAATTACGTAATTGAGGGCGCATACCTGGAAGATGGCGTACATGATGCAGGTAAGAGGTCGGTTGTGAGAGTACTCAGAAACAGTGAAGATGTTCAGACCCCACTTGTTGAGATCCTCCAGCTCCTTGGACAGCAGCTCCTCCTTATCGGTCTTGACGCCAAAGCGCGAGATGCTGCTGCTGGAGAGCGAGGGCCCATGAGAGACCTTCTTGACCCCACTGATCTGTGTCATCAGCTGCTGCCTCTGCTGCTTCGTGCGCGTCTTTGATGTTGGCGACGGGATCTCCACCTCATTCTGTTTGTCTAAGGGAAGGGGAAATGAAGATTTGTTGCTTTTAGAAAAGTGTGGACATTGTAAAGAAGAAATGGTTAAAATTCCTTTTTAACCTGCGTGTGTAATCTACTTCTCAATATAAAAAACTACTTCAATGCGTAGGCTGCCTGAGGACCCAGGTGCACTATAGAAGCACCTGCAGCTCATTAGTTAATGAGGGATTTATTGATTAATTTATCATCTGTCCCTTCATTCAGTTGTTCATTCATTGCTCCCTGTCCTCCACCTGCAGTTGCTCTCTGAGCTCCTACTGTTCATTCATCCCCGTCCTTCTCCCTCCTTCGCAGCACTTTTTCCCCCCGTCTGTCAGCAGGTGGTTCACATCTCATCTCCTGTTCTTTTCACTCTTACAGGTCAGTCCATTGACAGACTGAGAGCTGGGGCCTCTACACAGTTAAAGAAGCTCCGTGCAGTGGGCCATTCAATAAGCTGCCGCATCTTTCACAGCTTTATCAAATCACTTAGTATAGAGTGGGAAAACTTGCAAGGCTTTCATAAAATATTCCTTTGGAAAAACAATTATAATTAATACTCCTTTATCCCAAAATAAACCCAGAAAACATGCTGTTTCTTGTAATAACCAACAAGGCCATTGTGTTTACTATAATCAAAGAAGAACTGAAGGAAATCCTGCAGGGACTGGCTATTGGCATGTATGTGAGCTGCGCACTCATCTATCAAGCCTCGGCTCAGCTCATCGCTGGCCTATCAGCCTTCCCCTGTGGAGGGTTATTCAATTACCAGCTGTAATTCAAATAATCACTTTCACTCTCATGCTCTCCCTCTCTCTTGCACTGTTTTCTCTGCTTTTCTCTCTCTCTCACTCTCTCATCAGTCCTCCAGTGGTAATTGAGAATGGTCAATTAAGCGCTCTCAGACATGTGCTGTGTGGGAAACAAGGGGAAGAGCAATATATTGCCCTCTAATTTATTACAAGCCATCATTATCACCTCTGTAGTGTGGTGGTTGTGTGTGTGAGGCCTGTACGTGTGTGTGAGATAGAGAGAGAGAGAAATCAGATTGTGAGACAGACAAGTTTGCAGTGTCATTCTTATCATCCATTTCTACAGTAAGTGCCAATATACAGTAAATGCCATGCACTCTGCTCCACAGTCGACTTGATATACCAGAGTTATGACGATCCTCGTTTCCATATTCAACCAGATTAAGTCTCCCTGTCACAGTTTGGCCTGCAATGTGTCAGCCAGTCACATGGATAGTCCCTCTCATGTGTTTTTTTTTTCGAACCTCCCTCTGTTATTAACTCTCTCCTTCACATTTAGCTCGTCTTATCTCTTCCTGTGTCTCATTTTAGACACTGATTTACAAAAACAAAACACAAATCTGTTGTATTTTGCTCAGTTCTTTCTCTCCTTTTTCCCTTCTCCTTCCGGCTCCCTTGTCACCTCCCATTTATGTCGATTTCATCTGATTCTTTTTCATCCTCCTATGTGCTCTCCTGTGAGACGCAGATGCAGTGGGGATGTGGTGGGGTGGCTTTTTGGGACATTTTCTTCCTCAGCATATTCCCTAAACTAGGTGTGTTCCGCTGCTGGCCGATCAAAGGGAATTATGACAGAATTATGATACGAGGACAGTTGTGGCGGGGGAAGGTGCACGTGTATGCCCAGCATGCTGTTGGCCAACAGTCCCTAATGGAAAGTTGATCTAAAATTATCTTCGAAGAGAAACTATAGAATTTTTATTTATCTAAGGATTTATCCAGGCTCCACAAACACTGTTTTACAAAAGTCTGCCTCACCAGCTGAAAAAAAATTTAAAACCAGATGTCTACAATAAACTGATGGGGATTTGACGTGGATCTAAGAATGACCTCTGCAGAACCAGGCATATGGCAGGAAAATATAATTTCTCTGAGCCTGAATAGATGCTTTTATAAAAATAATAAAGCAATAAATGAATTACTGATGTGATACTAATCTTAATGAATGGAAGGATTAAACAGTCCTACTGGTCAGCTGAGGCCAAACCAGGCCAGCTGTGCTGCTTCAGCCATTTCCCCCCCTACTCTTCATTAATGTTAACCTGTTTGGGGTTTTTTTCTACCGCCAGCAGGGTAATCCTGATTTCTTTATCACAGCGATAGTCATCTCTGTCTGGATTCCCGGGGAAGCAAGAGAGGGGGGGGGGGGCAACAAGGTGTCCCTGCTGACAAGAAGATGCATTAAGACGGTGATGAGTCACCCTATCTGCCGAGCTCATCTCACTGCCAGCAAAGGGGGTTCCTCGGTACCTGTTTTCTTCAGTCATCCCTTCCTCCCCCCTTTGCTTATTTTCTGTCTCCCCTCCTCTCTCACTCTATGATCTGGCGGTAAGGGATCCATCAGCAACACTAAACCAGATCAGGAAGCCAGTCGATTGGAAGCACAATGTCTATAAATAATCTTACTTTTATCTCACTTGTCTAGTCCTCAGCTGTTTTCTCACTTCTGTGGAAATCTCACATTTACCAAAATAATTGATTGTCTCACTTGTGCTGTTTGAGGTTATTTTTTCCCTACAGTGAAATTATATTGTGGTTTAGTACCAGGGTCATGAAACATTGTGTACGTGTGGGTGGAAACACTACCGGAAGCACTGTTTCTAAAGACAATATAAATACATATATTTTTAGCTATCGCCATCCATTCTCATATTTCAAATGTGCAGCCCACACTGACAGCATCCAGTTCCAATTCACATACTCCGATTTAGGCTAATAAGCTCCCTTGTCAGTCAAATGGCACTTTTACAGCAGCCAGCCACCTTAAATACCTTCATTTTCCCTATTTTAATGGCCATGCCATAAACATGTGAAGCTCAATGATGGCGCAGTGTTCTATGGTACGCCCCCACAGAAAAGCCTGCCAGGGCAACTTGCACAGCTTAAGATCATGTAAAAAACTGAACATGATCTCCATAAAAACAATGCCGCAAAACAGATAAGTGAGGATCTGTCTGAACCATTCATTTGTGGATACTTAATTTTTAATAAATTATTGTATAATTTTGTATGTATTTTTGCTAAGCATATGGGAGTCATAATAAATGTCCGTAGTAATGGCTATAAAGACCATATTGGTGAATTTGTTGATGTGCTTTTGAGTGCATGTACACAAGACTTTCTTTTACCTAGGAAGGTGTTAGAGATGAATTCGGAAACCTGATTCCCAGACCGACTCATCTCAGATAGGTGCGTCAACTCCCGATTCAACATTCTTTTAAACTGCAAGAGAGAGGAAGAGATGGGGAGAGAGAGAAAAAATTGTCAGTTTCCACTGAGGAGAATTATGGTACAAGATTCCATGGAAAATACAGCAGTGTTACAGCTCAAGAATATTTAATTACAGCGTAAAATCAGTGGAGGGACACATCTTATTTTCCCCTCCATTTTCCCTGCGATTAATTAGGTGCAGATCATTATTTGTGTTACCAGTGTGGAAGCCATCTCCTTTTAATGTCCCTAAATTCACCTCCTGCAAAGCCAACAGTTTTATTACACTGAATCACATTTTTGAGGCCTATCTAGCTGTTTTATTTGCGTCAGTATGCAAGAATTTCAATGATGTCAAGAGGAAAATCTTCACACTGCTCCCTATATTCCTCTTCCTTTCAACATTTTGGTGATTTTCCATGTATTTTATTTTATTATGAACAGTTGTAAATGGATGCAATAGTTGAGGAAGATAGATGCATTTAATAGTACACGGGAATCCAGGCACTGCAGTAGCAGCTGTTTATGACAGACTGATGCATGCGCGTGCACAAACATACACATTAATACATACACAAACAGACACACAGCTCTGCAGAGGGCTCAAGATGGAGCCTGAGCCACAAAACACCATTCTGCCAGACCTCCTCCCCTCCTCACCATGATGGAAATATAATTTGGTGCAATTACGCTAACACAGCATTCTGAAAAGCTCTACACAAACAATAGATGTAATCAAATTCTTAATTTCTTTAGAAGTGGTCCTTAATGCAACAGTAACACAGCACAGGGAGGTACAATGAAATGAGTGTATTATCCCGACAAGCTACGTAGATAAGCGCCACACACCTTAATGTAACCCCAAGACACCGACAGCAGGTAATTGGCTTCAGGCATTTTGGACCCCGTTTTCTCGTTCCTACACAAAGCCAGAACTGTAATCCAATAGAAAAAAATAGAGGCAGACAAACAGGATTCTTTCAGTGCCAAAAAGGACAAAAAATCCCCTCTTCTCTTCTCTTATGTTTCTCTTCTCAGCAGCTAAGAGAGCAGCTCAATGACGGCTCACTCTCCCTCTTAGCAGCAGAAAAGGGCCAGCTCTGAGTCTCCATGCTTGGGGATGGATAGATGGACGTAGGAAAAAGTAAGCACTGTAGCCAGGCTCGATGAGGAGGAGATCCAGCAGACTCGGTAGATCGGCAGGAGCAGCAGCAGCTGGAGCCGTGAGCTAGGGACTCTCAGCGCACTGATGAATAATGGAGGAGGGGGGGAAAAAGCAATGGAGACAGAAGGAGGAGGAGGGAGTGAGACAGTGATGTTCATCTGACTGGAGGGGGGGTTCCTCCACTGGATTTGTCTTGCTTCGCTGCTCTCACTGCTGTAGCTATCGCTCCCCCTCCTACCCTGCTTCTCTGTCTCTCTCTCTTACTCCCCATGTTTCTCTTTTTTTTGTTCCCTCCCTCCCTCTTCTTTTCCCCCTGCTGTAGTCTGCCAGCCCCAGCAACACGCTCTATTCAGAACACATGATTTGACAGAAAGTGGGGAGAAGGGGGGAGCCCTAATTACGGCTTGGCATTGGTGTATAGATGAAGTTCTGAAGGGATGTTTGAGTGATTGACATAATATCTTGACTTGGATTTCCAAAATAACTTTTCTGCTCTTCTCTTCGTGCAACTGCTGCAGATAAATCCCATCCTCTTTAATTCCCAGCCCCTGTAATTCCCTCTAAAAGCCATTTTTTTACGAAGTCAGCCATTGTGAAGGAATGTCATTGAGCCGTAGAGCTATGCCTTCCCTCCACAGTAAAACAATAAGGTTGAGAAAGGGGATGGGGCACGTTTTGAGGAATGTGAGAGCACAGCGACTGTATTTTTATCGGCATTATCTCTATTATCATCCTCTCCTCACCCAGTCCTGAGTCGTCTGTTGTTTCCTGACATCCCTGACTGCGACGGCCATTGTGGGGAACTCATAAGCCTGTTCATTATCCGCATCCCAATCCCAGTAATATTAGATGCTGTCAGGGTGTCTGTGGAATGCTATTTTTAACAACCACCAGATAACAAAGAGAGTGGGGAAGACGACCAGAGAAGGGGGGGACAAAAAGACAAGGAAGAAGAGATGGAAGATAATTGCATCCTTCCCCAATTTAGGTGACATCCGCCCACGGTTTTCTCTCTCTGCTGGAGAGTGTGTCTATGCCAATTACCAGAACACCCCAACGCCATAGCAACAGCATCAGGCAGCCAGTGTGAGGTTGTTTTGAAAAGAGAAGAGAGGAGAGGCTTCCCCCTTTCCTTCCCAGGCACACATGTGGTGTAGCTGCTGAGCTGTCACGAGGACACACCACACACATCGCCTCTGCTCG